CAAAGAGCTTGGAATTTGCCAGTGGAGGGGCCTCCTTTATTTGGCTTGCAGGGTAGGATAAAAAATGTCAGATTGGCTTTGATGGGGTGGAAAGCACAACAGTTTTTTTTTTNCAACAGTTTTTTTTTTTTTTTGGAAAGCACAACAGGTTACCAACTCTTCTATCCTTATTGAAACCTACAAGTCCAAACTGTCAGTGTTGATGAAAGCAGGAGGATCCAGAGACTGGAGTGACTGGTACAATTGTAAAAATAAGCTAGACCAAGCTTATAAGGAAGAAGAGTGTTACTGGATACAAAATTCCAGAGTCTTGTGGTTGCAGGAAGGGGATCAGAATACAAAGTATTTTCATGCCTGTGCGAGGCAAAGGAGAAGATTGAATAGCATTGAATGTTTGATCAGGAGGGATGGTCTTAAATGCAAAGATGAGCAACAAACCCTGGGGGAAATTGTGAATTTTTATAAGGAACTCTTTAAAACCTATAACCCTCATCTCAGCAGCTGCAATCTGGAGGGAATCCCCTGCACCATTACAGATGAGTTAAAGCAAGATCTCACTCTCTCTCATGGTTGTTAAACCAGACCGGACCGACCAGTTCGACCGGTTCAACCGGGAACCGGCAAGAACACCGATCCGTTTGAGGTATTGAACCGCTCAGGTTCAAAACTGGTACAAAATCATTCGAACCGGTTTAAAACCGGACAACCGGTGGCGGTTCGCTTAAATAAACGGTTTTCAAATTTAGACTTTGAATTGTTGTGTCAGATTAGGAATCAGCGCACCCAACGTTTTGATGCTAAATCTCATTATTTTATAGCTACCATCAGCCTTTATTTTAGCTTTCACAATCAATGTAGGACTAAATTCCCACATTTTATGATCGAGTTCTGCCTTCATTTTTTCTTTTTCAACCAATGTGGGACAGTGGGACTAAAGACACCCAACTGGGCACGCTTTCTATGCTTGTAAATTGTGCAAAACCAGGAAGCTAATTAATTAAAGGTTTTTATGTATAACTTTATTTATAGTAATGTATATATTTAATTTGTTTTTTGGTTTTATTTTATTTTGTTTTATTTAGTAAAAAAATGCATTCGTCATCTTACTTTAATTTTTTTTTTAATTTATTTCAAACAAATAAAAAAATATATTTATATAAAAAGTAAATATTTAAATAAATGTTTTACTTTTTAAAACCAAATCATCTCTCTAAAACCAAATCCCCAAATCCTAAGAACCAAACCCTCGTCGATTTGAGTTGCCTTCCTCGGCAACAGTGCGGCGCCGGCCGGTGGACGCGCTCAACCGCCACCCCACCTCTGTTGTCCCGGTCCTCCAGTGTTGTTGCGGCTTGCCTGTGATGTCGGTCTGGATTGCCCTTCGTTCGCCGGCGTGGTAGCGATTGGAGGCAGCGCGCCCCTTGGTCGTCGATCGGCTTGCAGGTGACTGGCCGCCGGTCTTCGATTGGAGGTGAGTATGCCGTCTTCTTCTCCCGCTCCTGTTTCAATTTCTGATTCTGTGCGCGAATGGAGGGCCACCTCGAGCGGTCCTGTTTTTCGGCAGATCTCCGTTCGGGGTTGTCGAGTCCGGACATCGGTGGTCTGCGGTTCTATTGGCTGGGTAGTGGGTTGAGAGGCGGGGTGGGGCTCTGACGGGAGTCGGAACTGAGGGCCCGAGCCGTCCCCCGTTTTTGTCTAGTGGTGTTAGACGGCGGAAATCTGGTGCTCCGATGCTCGGCTAGTGGTGTTAGGCGTGCTCGGGAGGTGCTAGAGTGGGTGCGTGTTTGGTTGTCCTTCCGGTTGAGGCGGGTCGTTTGGGAGTGTGGTTTGTGTTCGGGCTCGACTTCTTGTATAGGCCTTGTGGCAGTTTCGGGAGCCGTCCCTGGACTTGGATTATCCTCTGATATTGACTGTTCTCCGCTGGTTCGAGCTGACTGACTTGCTGTGGAAGGGCTTTTTTTATTTAGCAGTGTTTTTCCTTTTTTGGTTTTGTTGTAGATTGGTTTGTTGTTCTTGTTTAGTGTGTTCGTATCTGTGTTTGTGTTTGTCGTTATGTTTTAGGTCTGGGCCATTGGCCTCTGTGCACCCGAGTGTCATTTTCATTACTCTGTGGGGGTCCGACACTCGGGAATTACCCTGTGGGGGTCTTGTGTTGTTTTTTTTGTCGTTGTTTTGTGTGTTTGTTTTTAGTGTGTTGCCGAGTATTCTAGCATTGCTAGTTTTCGGATCTAGGCGGTCTTCGGACCTGTCCTCCCAGTTTTCTCAGTCGTCGGTTGTATTATTCAGCTAGTGGCTGTAACTTTGCACATTTGTGCGTTTATATATAAATCCTCTATCGTTTCGACAAAAAAAAAATATTTAAATAAATGGACATATATAAGTTATTATTAGTTAATTAACTATTTGAATGTTTTAAATTGTGTTAATATATAATTAACAAAACTTTTTATATAAATTTTACTATATAAAATATTATATATATTTAAAAATATTAATAAATTAAATACCGGTTCAAACCGGTTCAACCACTGGTCGGACCACTGAACCATTGAACCAGTAGCTTGACCGGTTCGATGACCGGTCCGGTTTTGGCAACCTTGCTCTCTCTGTTGAAGAAGAGGAAATGCATAGGGCTCTGATGGATATGCACCCTCACAAGTCTCCTGGCATTGATGGTATGACTCCTTATTTCTTTCAATCTTCCTGGAGTGATTAAGCATGAAGTTTGTTTAGCTATCAAAAAAATTTTCAACTCATGCAGAATGCCTAAAACCACACTACTATTACCTTAATCCCCAAAATTCAAAACCCCTAGTCATTTCTGACTTCAGGCCCATTAGCCTTGTGCACTGTTACTTATAAGGTTATATCTAAAATCCTAGCTAATAGAATCAAACCTGTTTTGAGTGCTCTCATTTCTCCTAATCAGACTGCTTTTGTTCATGGTAGACATATTTTGGATAATGTTGTTATTGCCAATGAATGCATACACTATCTTAATAGCAAGAGACAAGGAAAGAATGCTTTTATGGCCCTCAAACTTGACATGTCCAAGGCTTATGACAAAGTTGAGTGGTCTTTTTTAGCCATGGTCCTTTAGAAAATGGGGTTTTGTAGTACTTTTATTTCTTGGATTTTGGTTTGCTTAAATTCCTCTTCTTTTTTCTTTAATCTTAATGGCCAACCTCTAGGTTTTGTTTCTCCAACTAGAGCGATCAGACAAGGTGATCCTCTTTCACCATATTTGTTCATTTTGATGTCTGAGGCTCTTTCTAATCTTATCAAACTACCCTATTATTCTCAGTCCTTTAAGGGTTTTAAAGTGAGTAAAAATGCCCCTATGATAACTCACTTATTTTTTGCGGATGATTCTACAATTTTTTGTAAGGCAGATACCTCTCATGCTATTTTTAAATCATTTTAATAAATATTTAAAATATTAACTATTTTTATTTCCTAAACAATAAGTTCAACAAAAATAAGAATGATAAATTATGTTGATGTACTTATAAGTAATTTTACATGTTAACAGCTAATTATAAATAGCTAATTTTACTAAACACTCTTTTACAAACCGCTAACACAATCATTTAGTCAAAACAGGTAACACAATCCGCTGGTCAAAGCAGTTAATGCAATCAGCTATCAGCTAACTGCTAATTGCCAAACAAGGCCCATTTATTGGTATCTAAATAGTTAATAAACTAAACAAGATTATGAATGAAAGAATTTATGTTGGGGAACAAATAAAAAAGTGAATTGATGGGAACAAGTTTTTAATGGGAGATGGATATAATTGGTGAATTCTTTTATTATCTCTTCAATTCTATTTTTCTCTACACATTTTCTCAGCCTCATTACACACACACATATATATAGTTGCTATTACTGTTGAGAGTACCTAACATGTTCTTGAGTTCAAGTGATGGCCTTAGCTATTTGAAGGACAGAGAGATACTCGCTCTCACACTTGATGTGGTTGAGTCCATTAACGAGTATATGAGCTCATTGAACTCATTTGGAGGAAGGACTGAATTTGAGTTCGAGCACTTGCAAGTCAAATGTTGGATATGACTCTCTTCACGATCTTCATACGCCTTAATTGTTGAATGAGATTAAGTGTTCGGGACTTCTGAATATAAATTGTATTTGAAGGTTGACACTATAGTGATGTTGCTGAGAAACACTGATCTTCAATAAGGTCGTGCAAGGTACCCATTTGGTTATTACTAAGCTCAGCAGCCATGTCCTCAAATAATGAAAAATTTTAAACGGTGTTAGAATTGGTGAAAATGTTCTTATTTCTAAACTCATAGTCTCTCCTTCTGATTTGAGGTACCGTTTAAGTTTCAGCACAAACAGTTTTCTAACATGGTTTTTAATGCTATGACGATCAATAAGAGTAAAAATCAGTCTCTGTTACACGTCGGATTAGTACTGAAGAACCCTGTTTTCAGTCATGGGCAATTGCACGTGGCTTCTTCCAGAGTCACGGATTCGAATAGTTTGAATATAAGGATATGTGGTGATGGAGATTTTGACGATATAAGAACTATGAATGTTGTATATAAAGATATTTAGACTTCTTTCTTAATGCTTATTATTTCTTGAATTAAATTATGAGTTTGTATCCTTTTCTTTTTGCATTATTATATCTCTTCTAAGAATTCGTCTCCATACAAATGCACAGGTTGATTACTAATTATATATAAAATCATAACAATTATAATCTTAAAACAAATCTAGTTCATACTTTTCTCAAAGATTAAATTTGACAATTAAGGTACACACAATCACATTCATAGATTACGCAATAAATTAACCACAACACAGAATCTGATTCACAAATAATCTTAAAACTTAATAACTATAATCTCAAAGATTACAGTAATCCATTAATGTCTAGCGTGATCTATATATATTACCCAACATCCTTGTTCTTAATTTCATTCATAGCAATAAAGAAGCTAGGTATTAATAGTAATACATATTTGATAATAATGGCGGGTAGGTACCCATATCCCCCTTGTTACGTGATCCCTAGATGCCATGATCGTGAATGTTGTGGTCAAAGCAGGTACAGAGTTGACTGGCCCAGTCTAGTCGGTAAGCCAGCTGAAGAAGCTATGGCTGTTATCGGTCTCGATAACCCTATAGTCACTGTTGTTATCTTGCCCCAAAGTGCGAACCCGCCTGCTGATTTTTGCTGCAACCGTGTTTGGCTAAGGGTTGACGACAATATCGGCAGTGTTCTTAATATGCCTGTGGTCGGGTAGAATATTATGAACATAAGTTGAAATAAAATGTAACCATATTGAAATTGAATAATTTGTCATGTCTCCAATATTAATGAGAATTTGGGATTGAGAAGAGTATATTAATTTAAAATGTGACTACAAAATTTAGGGAACAGGGTTTATGTTGCATACTTGCATGTATATTTCTCAATCTCATTAACATGGATAAACACTAAAATATATATATGTTGTTTTTTGTCAAAACTTGTTCAAACACTTCAAAATTTGTATACTTTTTTTTTTTTTTTNATTATTTTATATGCTATTTTTAAAAAACAATTAAAATTATATCCAACAACGATAGTTTTATATATATGTTGTTTAAAAAATATCTTAAAATTTTCTATGCTGATTTTCGATCATCGCATCTATTAGTAAATATATAAAAGCTAGCACACTATACATATAACAACACATCTAACATCGCTATAATTTAATTGCAAAAGAAGAATGATATTGATGATCCGTTCTGAGATTTAAATCGAACTGGTGGAAGTGAGCTCCGATCTGCCTGAACTGCTGCGTATGTACCTGCAAGAGCTCAACGTCAATGGGTTTCTGGCGAAAATCCTCCCATGCTTAATTAAGTCAATATCATGAATATGATGATGCTATGTAGATGAGAGCAATCTAATATATATATAAAATGTAAAGTTGAGATTTGGTGATACTTTATTCCTTTCTATAGGGAAAATACCTGCCTGAAATGCCCTGCCTGAATTCCCACAGACAGAGTGTTTATCCATATCCTAATCACCTCTTAGTAAGATCCTAGTCATCTTAAGATTCCTTCTTATCTCCTTAAGATTCATCCTTATCCTTTATGCCCATTTAATCTCGAGCGGCAATCTTCGCTCAAATCCTCTACCTCAAACTGCGAGGCCAATTAGGTCATCTTTCAGGTGAATAAAGGTTGACTTAGGTAACATCTCGAGGGTCGAGTCATCCTCTGTCCTTTCGCCTGGACTGGGCTGTTCTATGATCAAATCACCTTCCAAGCCGTTATCTCTCAAGTCGAAGTCGAGGTTCTCAAGCTGTGCTCAAAACATTTTCTCTGAGTCGTCATGCTCCTGGAATATCTAACTCAGGTCGACCTACCTAGGTCGACTTATAACCCGGTCGAGTTTCCAACACTTAACCCGATCTATGCTAGTATTGCTATATAGATATAAATATTTCATACCAACAATCATAAATAAAAGTTGATAAATAAAATCATATTAGATAATAGCAATAGTTAGTAAGATAAAATCGAGGATCATTTCCAAATTTTCAAAATGGGAGGAGTCATTTATTATTTGAAAAATACAAAAAAAAAATGAGGCTTGTTAATCGGTGAAAAACTATTTCTCTCACATTTTTATTTAATAAATGTGATTTCAATGTATTGATAAAAATAAATAAATTGCAAAATATAGAAATAAACTATAACTAGAGTTAATGAAATTTATATTAGTAGTCTTTAGAATTTGGATTTTGTAAAAAGATTGTATGCGGTAAGTTCATTGGAAACTAACTCTTGCAGTGAACTCCGAAAAAGAAAATGTTTCAAATAGTTCATATAAAAAAATACATCAGATAATGTTAATTGATATGGAAATACTTCATAATTTAAAATTTATATATTTGCCAACTTTCCTAAATTAGATAATGTAATTGATATGTAAATACTTCATATTTTAAATTTTATATATTTTCCAACTTTCCTAAATTAGTATCCATTTAATGTTGGAGGATTTTATATTCAATTGTGTGTAGTAAATACCAGTGTTCTAAAGTCTGATTAGAACGAAGGACGTGCCCTCAAAAACGCGTATAATCGGGCCCGACGAACTCACCTCAAGCAGATAAGGGATGAAGCAGCTGCAGGTGCAACTTTCAGAATCGAGCAGCAGACCTCCACGGACGGTGCCACGCCGTGGAATATGCCGCGCCGCGGCGAAGTTCTTCTGTCACGCCGCGACGGCCTTAACGGGCCAACACGCCGCGAAGGAGAGCATGCCGTGAGTCCTCGCCATCGCCACGCCGCGGAGATTCACGTGAAGAGCTTAGTGGGCCTTCAGAGAGGAAGGGCAACCATCTTCATCACGCCGTGCCATCTGCCACGCCGCGGGAGAATCCACCTACCACGCTGTGAAGCCTCAACGCGCCGCTGCACCTGAAGATCGCGGTTGGGAGCAGCAGTTTTATTCAGTTTTTAATTGCAATTTTCTTAATTTTTTCTTTTCTTTTCTTTTGGAAACCGTAGCAGGAAGTAGGAAGTATTAATGTTCTGTATTTTCATATCTGAAGACTTATCTTTTTTATGCAATAACATATCAGAAAATCGCTCACTTTTGGGCACCAAATTCGTGTCAACCGACGGCCATTTTAGTGCGGGTTACACATTTTCGTTTATTTTTCTTTACGTTTGATACACGATCGTAACAAAGTCGCTAGACATTTGCTAGGCGCTCGACCAGCACCTTACGCCTAGGCAAGGCCTAAGCGGTGCCTAGAAATTAAGATTAAATACCTTATTTTTTATTTATTTTCACTATCCACAAAATAAAATTATCTCAACTTATAATATATCTACACATCTAAGTTCAAATAATACTATTACACTGGAATATCTATCTCGTGTTTATCGCTACCTCATTTCAGCTTCCGCTTTTGGGAGATCAAACGGAGGATCCAACCACGATCCTATAATAGGAACAAGAGATCTTTCTCGATCAATTCTTTTGCCCTTCATTCTTCGATAATCGGAAAGATCCTTTTTCAAGCTTGAATTTATTTATTTAGAATCTGAGTTCTTCTACTTTATTTTTATTTAATTATACTATAAAGAAAACATAATAACAAACTAATGTAATTAGTATTTAAAAATTTAAAAAATAATAAAAGAAATTGCCATCGAGCCTGGGTTGGAACGCCTAGGTCCGCCTAGGCGCCGCCTAGCTACCTGGCCGCCGAACACGTCAAGGAGACCCGCCTGGCCGACTTTTTTCGGTCGATTCATGTAAATCGGAGGCGATCGGGCAGCGCCTAGGCTAATATTTAGTATAATGGTAAATACTAATCTCTTTTTACATATATATAAAATACAATTATAAAAAATAAATGAATATGTGATTCAAATAGTCTATATAACTAAATGCATCATATAAATATTAATCAATAAGTAAATACATTACATTAGATTGTAAAAATTATATTATTTGCTAGCTTTAGTAAATTAGTATGCATTTAATGGATCTCAATCTAGTACGTTAACCTCACCAAAATTAGGCTCCATCAACGTGTTACTACATTATATTAATCCATAAGTAAATACATTACATTAGATTGTAAAATCCCCCTATATATTAATTGAGAACGTGTTGAGCCTATGTGGCAGGCTCGCATGCTTCGGGATCCTATGTGGCAAAATTACATGCTTCGTTATTACGCTTGGATAGGTTTGGATTATCTATAAATATGTTGATTATTTATGGTAGGGGTGGGCGCGGTCCGGAACGATCTTGGATTTGACTTGTCCGCATACTCATCCCACTTTTATGACGGGATGAGACACTCCCCACCCATGTAATACATGGGTGTTATACTAGTTCTTTTTTATGGTGAAAAAATGAAAACTGATCGTCAATCTATTCTTAGGTGGACTATTCAATTGAAAGTAATTAGTTGGAAAGATTATGGCGTGATTGTATATAATTTGTACAGTAAATATTCCACTCAAAATTCAAATTTAACTCAACTTTAACTCAACAGCACTATCTCCAATATTATTAATATAATTAAATAATATCAACCAATCATTATTACACATCACATCAACTTTAATTCACTATTCACCCACTCACATAATTTTAACTAACCCTCACTTCCAATCATTTTCTCCTACTTTTACATCAAATCAACTTTAATTATTTTAATTTAAATATTATTTTAATATATCCACTAACAACTAACCATATTACTTTTTTTTAAACTTAACTATAGTTAAAAAAAGCTAGTTTTTTACTAGTTGAATTCATATCTAATCACCTCCTTAGTACTTTATGTTCTCTATATGCTGCCTATTGTATGGACTCTGGAAGGTTTTTGTTAAATTATTGAAGTTTATAATGATATAATTAGATTAAGAAATGAGAATATCTGAAAAAAAAAATCCCTTACACATTCAGTGATTTTTTTTTTAAAGTCCTTTGGTGGTTGATTAACTTACTTTAGATATTATCTTAATCTTGGGAAAATATACAGGTGACATCTTCGTATGGAAATAGCTATCACAATTCTGAGCATGTGAATGAGGGGCATTTTGCATTTCAAGCAGTTGAGGCAGGCGATTACATGGCTTGCTTTTTTGCGGCCGATCATAATCCTGCAACGACTTTAACCATCGACTTTGACTGGAAATCGGGTGTTGCTGCAAAAGACTGGACAAATGTTGCGAAAAAAGGTTCTGTTGAAGTAAGTAGCCAAATGCTTATTGTTAGAAGTTATGTTTGTCCCACATTGATTAGTTATTGGGGTGCTATTTGTACTTTGAGTTTGTTATTCTTATTGAGTTTCGTTTGGACATAGTGATTACATTTCTTTCTCTGTTTTTTCTTTTGCTTTTGTGATTGAAGCTATTTATGCTAGCCTACTAGGGAGATGAATGTACTTTTGACTTTAATTCAGCTGGATTTAGACTTTAATTTAACTTGTATAACACTATGCAGTATTGATTGTTTCCTTTAGCTCTTTCTTTTTATTGCGTATAGTAATACACACATATAATATGTTCAATACTTGATTTGAAAATTTTCTACTTTGACTGCCTTTGCAGTTGATGGAAATAGAACTGAAGAAAATGTTCGACACAGTACAATCCATTCGCGACGAGATGTTTTATCTACGTGAAAGGTAAAGTCCAACTTGAATTTTTGAAATGATTTACCTTGTTATTAATGTTGAACTCCTGAGTTCTCACTTTGGTGAATTTATCTTATTATTTTTGCAGGGAAGAGGAGATGCAGGAACTAAACCGGTCGACTAACTCCAAAATGTTTTGGTTCAGTTTTCTTTCTATTCTTGTTTGCCTTTCGGTTGCTGGGCTTCAGCTATGGCATTTGAAGTCTTTTTTCGAGAAGAAGAAGCTTATTTAGAAATGAAAAAAATAAAAATAAAAAAAATCACTGTTCTGTAATCGATTTCTGGATTTTTCCTATTTAAGTTATATATGTACAATTATCTAGAGAAGAGGTAGATTACAGTTATTGATTCATTTGAGAAAGGCATGAATCGAAACTGTAATAGGAACTTCATTTTTCGTTTTAGGGAGTTTTAACTGAACCGAGAATGGGAAGACCATCACAAGTGAATTTTAGTGTCTGCAAATGCAAATTTCTGGTGCTGGTCTTCCTTCAGAGCTTATCAACTAATAAATGCTCTTTTAATTTGAATCAATTCCCTGCTTTAATAGATCATATATCGCTAACTTTTAATTCTTTAGTTATCATCACTAACTCCGAGCGTTCTCTATGATAAGAAGGTCAACAAAGGCTAAAAGGTAAGTTTTATAGAACGGCGATTCGCCCGGCGATGTTTTACGGTGCTGCGGGCACACAAGAAGGGATAGAATCCGAAATGAAGATATTCGAGATAGGGTCGGGGTGGCTCCAATTGAGGAGAAATTGGTTCAACATCGGCTGAGGTGGTTCGGACATGTCCAACGAAGGCCTCCTGATGCACCGGTGCGTAGGGGAGTTCTTCAGCGGTTCGAAGACGTAAAGAGAGGTAGAGGTCGGCTAAACTCACTTGGGAAGAGTCGGTTAAGAGAGATCTTAAAGATTGGAATATCTCCAAGGATTTAGCGGTGGATAGGAGCGCTTGGAGGCTAGCAATCAACGTGCCAGAACCGTGACTTTTGCTTCTTTTTCTTCTGGTCCAATCTCTTTCTTTTGTTTCAACCCCTTTTTGTGTTTCTTTTACCGATGGTTCTCTTGAGTTTCATCTCTAGCCTACCCCGACTTGCTTGAGACTAAAGACTATGCTGCTGCTGTTGTTGTTATCATCACATTCATCACACGTTATGAATTTATGATGAGAAAAAAAGGTTGATTTATTGTTATCATCACATTCATCACACGTTATGAATTTATGATGAGAAAAAAAGGTGGAAATCAACGGATAGTGTGGATGCTACAACATCAAATCACACGTTGCTTTAGAAGTGTAAGCAAAGAAGTGAATTTTTTGAAACACTATGAAGAGAAACATGCTATAACCAATTTATATTCTTCCAGACAATATAGGTATTATCAAGCATATGTCCTAATTTGAGTTATATTTATGTCCTTCTCACGTAAAGGCATAATAGCTATTGTTATTTTCAAACCAGATGTGTATACTATATATTTTCAAACCGAAATGTCACTGGAAACACAACATATAAAAGTATTGACATTTCAATATGAGTCGGACCCAACCATTTGCCTTGTAAGACCGTTAAAACTTAAAACCCCTAACAAACATCAAAATCACCAAACCCAACAGAGTCGCAGATATATTTTGTGAAGTAACAACCCATTTTCTTTTATCGACGTTGTCATGGAAAACTTCGTTTATTGTCCTTTCATAATAAATAAAACGTCAAAAAAGAAACCAATTTTCGTGTCACATTTTCTTATTAGATGGCTTAACTGAAGCAAGATAACGAGTAATGAAGAAGAAATGCCAATTACCAAACAAAAACTTAAAAAATTTATCTGCAAATAATCCAAATATGTCCGCTCAGGGCATGGCTGCCTCCATAGAGAGTAAACCTATCCCAGCCGACATCAACTTATTTATTAACAATGGAACTAAAAATAAAATACTTAATTATTAACAATAGAACTCCCGAGCAAAGCTTCACTGACTAGGTGGCGGGAAGAAGATCTCTTCCCCCTTCCTCTTCGAGCTGAACTTCTGCTCGACTTCAACCGGAACATTAAAAGCCGCCTGAAGCACCTCCGACGACAGCGCCTTCCACACCGAAGTCCTTCCCGCCAAATGCGTGAAAATCGGGCTGCAAAAACCAGAATTCAATATTTTTTCAACTCTCAAGAACTCAATAAACACAATTATTCATGTGTAGTAATAATTGTAACAAAAAATAAATAAATAAATAAATAAAATCTTTCAACTCACTTAGGAGTAGTTATGATGGAGAACCAGTCCATGCCATCAGGGTCCGCAATCTTCGAGACCACAAAGAACCTGGGCACAATAAACAGATTCCCAGCCTTAATAGTAGTCTCCAAAACCCTCTTCCCATCAACTCCCACGACCTGTACACGCCCACTACCCCTCACAATGTAAGTCACCTGCAGAGCCGAATCACACGAAAAGCCGGGAGAACACATTGCACTGCCATTCAGTTTAACAAGGTCTGCCCCAAGCCCAACTTCCCCAACTAGAGGCAAATTCTTGGTGTTCAAAACAACTACCTTGCCCCCACCTTTGATGTCCACGTCAAGTGGGGCCTCTTCGCAGTTGAGGGCCATGCCGTTATAATGCTCCTTATTGGGCTCGGGGAGCTTTGTGTTTGGGCCGAGCTTGATTATGCCGTGGCCATGCTGGCTGGAGACTAGGGCTTTGGCGGTGGGCTCGTCGACGTCCCAGGCCCGGCTGACAAACTCGGTGGAGAAGCCCGTGAAGATGCCTTTGGGGCCCGTGAGGAAGAAGTCGGTGAAGGAGCCGCGTTTGTGGGCTTTGGAGGTGTCGCCAAGGAAGAGGATGAGTAGCTCGGTGTCTTCCTTGTTGTGGTACCATGTTACGACGCCGAAGGGGAGGGCTATGGCGTCGCCCTTTTTTATTGGGAGCAGCTTTTCTTCTTTCTCTGGTAGGATGATGCCGGCCACTCCACTGCCTGGGAAAATGGATCGGGCAATTTATCGAGCATGATGAGTGCAACATTTTCAGTAGCAGGAAATTTGAATTGCGTGAGTTGTGTTTCGTTATTCATCACTATGAAGTTAGTTAGCAGTAATTGAATTACTTTAATAGCATCACTGATACGAAGCACGAATTTAGCAGGAGTGAATAGCAATTAAAACGGCTGAATTTGAAATTTTCTCGAATTTCCAGTCAACTTTATCTGAAAAACAACTGCATGAACGATTTGTATAACTGTAGACAGACAATCGGAACACATTGCAGCAACAGAAGCACGATAAAGATCTACCATCACTCTTCGATTATATAAGTAAAAGGAAAAAAGAAAATCACAATTTAAATTCAGGAACAACACAAAAGGTAAAATGATCACGATCAAATCCATGTTTTACGTAACGCGATCATGGAAAAATCTAATTATATCGAACTCGAACATAAAAAGGAAAAGATGAATCAGATTCGATCAATAGGTAAGCCACGTGCGGATCTGAGATTGGTTACTAGTATACCTTGAAGAACATAAGCAACTTTAGCAGAATCGGAGTATCGAGGGGGCGCGAAGCCGTTTTTCTCGAGGGCGAGCTTAGCGGCGCCGATGTTGCCTTCGCGGAGCATCGGGAGTTCGTTGGGGCACCACGCGTAGTACGCGCCGCCATCTCCGCCGTAGATCTTCTTCGCCAACCTTGGTGTCAAGTCGAGCTCCATCTTTTTAGATCACTTCTCTTTCTCTCTCTAAATCAAACGAAAAGGAAACGCAAACTGAGTGAATGCTGATGAGAATTACGGATGATCCTGTTTGGTATTTATAGGGGAATATGAAAGAAGAGTTTAATTGTACGATTAGTTTGTTAATTATTGATTAGAACTTATCTTCGAAGAAAACAAAATTATCTTCGAAAAAGTTATTTGAAATTGCAATTTGTATGCGTGATTAGATTAAGATTCTACCTCACCGAAATAATTTTTAAGTAATTTGGATAATATACTAGAATTTGTAGCATTTAATTTTTAAGTAATTTGGATAATATACTAGAATTTGTAGCATTCCCTAAAATATAAGAGCGTTTTATGTTTTAGATAATTATGACCATGAAATAGTGCATATTTAGGAGATTAGGATTCTATCTCACCGAGATAACTTTGAGTAATCTATATATATATATATATATATATATATATATATATATATATATATATATATAATTAATCCATTAATAAATTTTATTTTATAAATTTTACCTAATAAATTATGCACCTAACTTTCCAAACAATGAATTTGTTAATTAAGACAAAAACTGTTACATTTTATATTAATTGAGTAATAATTATATTTTTTTTATCGTGTAATAGTTATTATTAGAATTAGTAATTATATTTTACACTAAATGATATATGAAAGTTAGATAAAACTTCGAAGAAAACAAAAACTAGGACTCTTATCTTATCATGATTGTCGAATAAACTAGTATGAGCTCCGTTAATATTTATAAATTAATAATTCTTATTAAGTAATATTTATAAATTAAAAATATAGAATCAATATATAATATAATTACCTATACTAATTTATTTAAAATGCTATATAAAGTTCAAATTGTATAAATATTTAAAATTAGTACACAACACGTATGGTGCACATAACTGATAATGAATTACATTATATTCGTTTGAAAAAAGTAACATTTCAAAATTTTTATTTAGAAATTTGATTTAACTATAATGTGATTCCATAAAATAGTTATTTTGGTACAATATTATCATATATTTAACAATCTATGTGAATAATAAGTATAAATATAAAATTTATATTGTTTCATTACTTAAAATAAGTATATTATATACTAAATTTAAATCATGTAACTAATAAATGTAATAGTTGCAAGTTTTGTCAATATATTATATTTCAAATTTAAATCATGCAACTTATAAAAGTAATAGCCACAATATTTGACCAAAATAATTCTATACATTAATTTAGGCGGAATTTTTTAATTTTTTGCCAAAAATATTACTCAATATAGTAAATACTTTAGGCGGAAAAACCAAATGCTTTTTTTGTTGATTTTTAGTTGCTATTTCAAGTAAATATTATTGTCTCTTTATATATTAATAGATTTTCTTTCTGCGAATAATTAGTGATAGTATTATGGATAATATTATGGATGGATGTACACGAGATATTGTAATTGTATGACTTAGGGAAAAAGAAAAGGTTAGTTGAACTTGCAATTTGAATGCGTGATTGGATTAGAATTCTATCTCACCGAGATAAGTTTTGAGTAATTTGGATAATATACCAGAATTATTGAATCATTTAGACAAAAATATCTATATCTATATCTATATCTATATATATATATAAAGAGGTTGTTGGAAAAATACATTAATAGAAAGTTTGACCAAATAAATATAATGTTTGACTTATTATTAATGGAAAGTTCAAAAAAATATATGTAAATCTTTAGTAACAAAATCTGAATCCTATTTTTTTGTAACTAATTTGGATATTCTTATGGCAAAATTTGAATTCCATTTTTTTCGTATCATATTTTATTTTTTTTGCCAAAATTTAAATCATATATTTTTTGGTAATAAATTTAGAGATTCTTATGCAAAAAATGTGTCAATTATTTATGAAAACAATACTAAATACAAATTAACTTAAAAACCGTACAAATTGGATACAAATTTTGGAAACAAATAGTTGTATAATTCTTAACCAATTCTTCCAATCTTATTGAATAATTTTTTCTTTAAAAAAAAGTGTGTAAATTGGATAAAACCACGTGCAATTTTTATTTTAGAATAAAACTGATATTTGGACGGGATGTACATTCACAATTGTATCCACATTTTTTGGTAACAAAAGCGGTTCATCTTTGATAGATAAAAATTAAAAAAATCTTAAAATATCCTTAATAATTTAACTTATTTTTAACTTATTTGAGATCAAGATTTGTTAGGTCTTTTTAAGATTAGTTATGATTTAAAAGAAAAAAACATTATACAAAATTTCACTCTAAATCTCATATTCACACTTAAAGATTTCATAGTATTCCTCTAAAATTTGATCATCTTAAAAGTCTCAAATCTTAAAAAATCTCAAAATGACACTCAAAATTCTAAACGAATACATATTATATGCCTATATCGTCAATTTATAATTATTATTTAATGTTATTTACTCGTGCATCGCACGGGCCAAATACTAGTTATAAAATAAAAGAGCGTTTTATGTTTTAGATAATTATCACCATGAGATAGTGCATATTTGATTGTGCCTTGTGTTAATAGATTTGACTAATAAATTATAAATCTACAATTATACTAAGGAGCCAACTGTTGGCTCCTTAGCATTTATGTTATAATCTATCTATATATATCCATATAAAAGGAAGGATTGTGTTTACTTAAAATAATATATTTTTCATTAAAAATATTTTTTACTAATTGTACTGTAATTACGATTAGTTTGTTAGTTGTTGATTAGAACTTATCTTCGAAGAAAACAAAGATTATAGGACTCTTGTCTTATCCATGTTTGTCATTTATTAGTAATTTTCTTTCTGCGAATAATTAGTAATAATATTATGGATAATATTATGGATAGATATACACGAGATATTGTGTAGATATACACGAGATATTGTGATCTTATGACTTAGGGAAAACGAAAAGTTACTTGAAATTGCAATTTGTATGCGTGATTGGATTAAGCTTCTATCTCACCGAGATAACTTTAGAGTAATTTGGATAATATACTAGAATTTTAAATCATTTAGACAACAATATATTATTTAAAATAAAAGAGCGTTTTATGTTTTAGATAATTATCACCATGAGATAGTGGCATAGTGCATATTTAGGGGATTAGGATTCTATCTCACCGATATAACTTTGAGTAATCTATATATATAATTGATAGCAATCCATTAATAAATTTTACCTCATAAATTTTATCTAATAAACTATATTTTCCTGGCACCTAACTTTCCAAAAAATGAATTTGTTAATTAAGACAAAAATTGTTACATTTTATATTAATTGAGTAATAACTACTATTATATCATGTAATCGATATATATATAAAAAGAATTAATATTTTTTAAAAATATCAGGTCAAATCTGGTCATCATTAATTTACCTAACATTCTTTAACTTTTTATTTTTTTTCCCAAAAAAACGGGTAGCATTAAATGCTACCCTTAAATTATGGCATTTGTTACCTCTAAATTTGACACTTTCTAAAAAATATGGTAAGTGCAAGATAGAACTGAGATTGTATTTGGCTTCTTCATTAATTCATTGACGCTGCCATTAGATGGGCTCACCATTAAGCACAGCAGAAATCTTAATAAAGTAAAAAACGAATCTTTATTTAGGGAGGAGTAAACGTGCAAGTGAAATTTTTAGCAATGACTATTTATTTATACTAGTACAGAGTTCGTGCGATGCACGAGGTGCACAATTTTAAGGCTATTTATCCAGGCTTATAATATAAAGAAAAATGTACGGGATATATATAGTACGTGACTCGTGCGAAGCACGAGATATATTTATTGGGAGAATATTATATTATAAGATGCAATATACAATAAAAGTTTATAATACACAATAAAATTTTACAATGTTCAATAAAAGTTTTATAATATTCAAGTGGAGTCTTAAAGTCTCTTGTACATTAAGACTACTGACAAAATAATATTTTAATCAATGAGTTTCCTTTCATTGTAGCCAAATTGTGAATGTGATTTGAGGAGTACAACAAATCGATATATAGCTGACTTGCTTTTTTCATTGTAGTTTTTTTTTCTTTTTTTTTTTTTATAATGAATTTAAAGATATTCTAAAATATAGCAAAAATTAATTTTTTTATTACAATTAGGAATTTTACTAAATATAAACTCTCAATCTATGGTGTTAATCAACGTTTAAGTCTAAAAAATTAGGAATTTTTACCTCTTTTAATCAACGTTTAAGTCTAAAAAACAATAGAGTTATTATAAGTTTTTTTTCTACATCTTTTAAAACATTAAATATGAGCATGTTAGGGCTAGCTTGTAAAATAATTAATATATTATCTCACTAAAACATTTATACTAATAAAAATTTAATTTTAGCATATAAATTTATCCCTTGATATAAGAGAAAGTAACAGTTTTACTTATTGTTGTTCACCATATAATATTTAATTATTATTTTATTATATAATAAAAAATAAATATTGTTAAATAGTGTAGTAGAATTGTTATAAAATTATATGATTTTTTTTTTTTTTTACAATATGGATTTAAAATTTTTTATGATTTGATAATATAAACAAATCTATACTTAACTTTGACAAATAAAACAAATAAATACTTTAGCAAGTATTTAATGTATATATTAAATAGGAATATATTTGATATAATTAAATACCAAATATAATCAAATAAATCAAAGTGTACATTTTTATTTGGTATTTGATTTTTTTATTATTAAAATCTTTTTATTATACTTAACTTTTTAAAATAAAACAAATAAATAATTAATTAAATAAATAAAATATTATAATACCAAAATAGTAATGACATTTAATGCAATTGACTTTTCTGGATAGTAAATGTAGTAAATAGAATCTCTTTTTATATAAGTATAGATTGTATAATACGGAAATAGTAATGCAATAAATGCTGTTGACTTTTCTGACTATTTAATTTGGTAAATAGGACTCCTTTTAATATAAGTATAGATTAGAAAGGGGCTTAAAAAATTGGGTTGATCTTTCTGTTGGAGAGCAATTAAGCGAATAGATGTCAAGAAAAGGTGGCCGCCATATGTATATCTTTTAGGAGCAGAATTAGTAAAAGATGCTCTGCTTAAATCTTGAGGATGGTGATTTATGCTTTGAAGTGTGAATTGATGTCATGCTGATAAATATGGGACTTGGCAAAGTTTTTTTTTTTTTAATTTTTTTTAATTACTATCTTTTTATTTATTAATACACTTCATTTATTCTATATCCTAAAAAATATACAACCCGTGCATCGCACGGGGTTATGTACTAGTATATATTTATTTGCTAACTTTAGTAATAGTATGCATTTAACGGATCTCCTTCTAGTATGTGACCCTCACCAAAATTAGGCTCCATCAACGTGTTACTTACACCACACATACAAATAAACAATGCCGCTTTTGCGGTCCAACTTTCTGTCCGTACACTTCTCTCATTTTTAAAATATCACAATTTTTGGCTTTATTTTTGGGTGCAGAGAAAATAAAAAGCTTCTGGCTTTTCACGATTATACTTTGGGAGTTTCTCATTCTTTTGACCTCTGTTTCTCTGTCGTTTCTGGTGCGCTTTCTTTCTCAACCTCTGTTTCTCTGTCGTTTCTGATGCGCTTTCTTTCTCTTTCTCCTTGCATTCATCTGACGGCATTTTTAAGGGTTCAATTAGGTGATTAATTTAGCTCTTATTGATGATATTTTCTATAATGGAGAACTAGATTATAATGCGTATCTTTAATTATCGAAATCTTCTTGATGCTTAAAGAGAAATCCAATTATTATAGCAATAAATCGTTGAGTTGAAAATGGGAAAGGTGGTGGTGAACTTTTCCAGACTTGGGCTGCTCGAGTTTTGAAATATCGCAACAGATTTTATTTTATTTTTTATTTTTATTTTTTGGCTTGTTATTTTCAAAATTATAGGGAGACAGAGAATTGCAATGTAAGAAGCGAATCATACTAGCAATCGGTGTTCATAGATTTCAAACAAGCCAGAGCTGGGAAATTTTTCATCTTGAAAAGCTTATGCATCAAAGGCTATGACCTTTTATTTTTTTTTTTATTTTTTTTGTCATTTGTTTAATGACTTTTTCGTTTCTAAATCATGATTGTCACCTTTCCTGTCTCAGGTTCTTGATCAACCTCTCGTTGCATTTCCTGTTACCAGAAAATGGAAAGTGAAAAGAATTTCAAAGAAAACGGCCCTCCCCACTCCCCTTCCGCACCACGGCTTTCATCTCCAGATTCCACAAACGAACCATATAGTCCCGGTTCAACAACCCGGCCCAATAACGGCAATCTGAACATTCCAAAACCAGAGCCCGAAGAAAATCTCATTTCATTCTCACCAGTCGTCGGTGACAACAAGGGAGCTTCAGTTGAAAACAAAGAACCTCCACAAAGTCGCGACAATCATCACGAAACATCACCAAAATCAGATCATGGCCCGGCCCAGTCCAGTTATGATGCCTCTGATGGGCCCACCACGCAAAAGCCTGAAAAGGAAGAAAATACGGAGCCCAAGATTGTCGCAAGGCCAACTCCCGAGGACGATTTCATACCCTTTGTGCCGTCCCCTCATCACAGACGGGCCATTAGCATGGATCATCTCGTCGCCAAAGTTCCCGCCAATTACGGCAACAGCCCAACATCGACTTCAGCTTCAGCCCGGTCCAAGTTGTCGAGCAATTCTTCCTTGAGCAGAGGTCAAATCGACACGGCGGCACCTTTCGAGTCCGTCAAGGCTGCCGTCTCGAAATTCGGAGGCATTGTCGACTGGAAAGCCCACCGTGTCCAGACTGTGGAGGTACATACGATTAAATTCAGTATATTATTATTTTGTTGATAAATACTAAGACCACGATTTTCCGCAAAAACCATGCACGTGCGCGCAGAGACGAAAGTTTATCGAGCAGGAGCTGGAGAAGGCGCAGGAAGAGATGCCGACTTACAAGCAGCAGTGCGAAGCAGCCGAAGACGCCAAAACCCAAGTCCTCAAGGAGCTCGACAGCACCAAGCGTCTGATCGAGGAGCTAAAGCTGAACCTCGAGCGAGCTCAGAAGGAAGAACAACAAGCCAAGCAAGATGCCGAGCTCGCCAATCTCCGTCTAGACGAGATGGAGCAAGGCATCGCTGATGAGGCGAGCTTCGCCGCCAAGGCCCAGCTCGAGGTCGCCCGTGCCCGCCACACGGCCGCCGTCTCGGAGCTCAAAACCGTATACGACGAGCTCGACCAGCTCCGCAAGGACTACTCACTCCTCATCTCCGAGAAGGAAGTCGCCGCCAAGAAAGCCGAGGAGGCCGTGTCCATCTCAAAGGAAGTGGAGAAGTCGGTCGAGGACCTCACGATCGAGCTCATCACTCTCAAGCAGTCTCTCGAGTCGGCCCACTCGGAGCACCTCGAGGCCGAGGAGCACCGGCTCGGGGCCATCATGGCCAAGGAGCAGGACGCCGCCAGCTGGCAGGAGGAGCTGAGGAAGGCCGAGGCCGAGATCGAGCGCCTCAACGCGTCGCTGCTGTCGACGAGGGACCTCAAGACAAAGCTCGACGAGGCCACATCGCTTCTGCACGGCCTCAAGGCCGAGCTGGCGGCGTACATGGAGACGGAGACGGCGAATGTTTCGGAACAGAAAACGCGCGGCGACATCCAGGCGGAAGTCGTGGCCGCGAAAGAGGAGCTCGAGGAGGTGAGGCTCAAGATCGAGAGGACGAACGAGGGAGTGAACGTTTTGAGAGAGGAGTCGAAATCGTTGAAACTCGAGCTCGAGAGGGAGAAAATGGAGCTGCTCGGGGTCCAGCAGAGGGAAGGAATGGCATCGATAGCGGCCGCGTCTCTTGAGGCCGAGCTGAACACGACGGTCTCGGAGATCGCCATCATCCGGGCCAAGGAGGAGGAGGAGAGTGAGAAGATGGCGGACCTAACGAAGAAGCTTGAGGAAGCAACTCGAGAGGCGGAAGATGCGAGGGCCTTAGTGCAGAAGGCACGTGAGGAGGCCGAGAGGGTGAGAGAAGAAGCCGAGCGCGCCAAGGCGGGGAAATTGGCCAAGGAGAGCCAGCTGAAAGCGGCACAGAAGGAGATCGAAGCAGCCAAGGCCTCTGAGAGGTTGGCGCTTGCGGCGATTAGCGCGCTTGAGGAGAGTGAGTCAGCGGCAGCTGCTAAGAAGGCCGATGATGATGATGATGATACGTCGGGAGTCACCCTCTCGTTGGACGAGTATTACAAACTGAGCAAGCGGGCCCACGAGGCCGAGGTGGAGGCCAATGCCCGTGTGGCGGCCGCTGTTTCTCAAGTCGAAGCTGCCAAGGAGTCGGAGCTCAAGAGCCTGAGTAAGCTGGAGGAAGTCAGCAGGGAGATGTCCGCCAAGAAGGACGAGCTAGAAATTGCGCAGTTGAAGGCCGAACAGGCGACCGAGGGGAAATTGGCGGTTGAGCAGGAGCTGAGGAAGTGGCGGGCCGAGCACGAGCAGAGAAGGAAGGCTGATCAGTCTGGGCCTAGGCCCGTCAACACGAGCAAGAGCCCGCTCACGAGCCCCAAGAAGAGTTTCTCTGGCGTGGCGGAGTCCTCGACTCTGCATCAGAGGTCGAGCCCAAGAGCACAAGTGAGCAAAGAGGAGGAGAAAGAAGCGTTGGCAGACGGAAAGGGTGGGAAGAAGAAGAAGAAATCATTTTTCCCCAGGATTTTCATGTTCTTAGCCAGAAAGAAGGCACATGGGAATAAAAAGGATTGAATGTTCTTTGCCAGAAAGAGAAAGAAGGCACAGGGGAGTAAGAAGGGATGATGTGATTGTTTCTTTCCACATACAAATTACATCTTACATGCCTTCCCTGAATGCTTTTATCTGACTTGACCACAGACTGTTATCTTTCTTTCACAATTTTTATTTTTTAATGTCTAAATGAGTAAGTGATATTTTACGTANTTTTTTTTTTTTTTTGGTGTGTGTGTGTATAACAGACTAAATAACTTCTGGGCTTAAAGGATTGAAGTGATTCATAGCATGTTGAACCTGCAGGGTTGTAAAATGTTGTGTAAAAAACATCTATACACTTTTGTAATTTGAATAAAACTTTTTGAATACTTCCTCCTTCGGGATCTCATTACTCTCTTTTTTGTTTGATTGAATGTGTTGGTAATTTACATTTATGGGTTGAAAACACTATCATAAAGAAGTAGATAAATGGAACAACCAGTTTATGTCAGTAGTTCACCAAGTCGAACCAATTCATCAAAGAACGCAAGTAAACATATAGGGTTTAGTTAGAAACATGCTTTTCGTTTAATTTTCTATATTCCAAACGGCACCGTCGATGAGACATATTTTTTGGGGGAACACAAACCTCAATGTGTGCTTGTAATAACTCAAGGAGCATTCAAACCAAGGGAAGATAGTGACTTTCTGTAAAACCTTCAAACCAAGGGAAGATAGTGACTTTCTGTAAAACCATCCAACAAAACACGTACAGACTGGTATCATAAGACAGAATGGTATCATAAGACACGAGGAATGAAATTTATATTTCTTAAAGACTTGGCAATTGAGAGCCTTATTATTACCAAGCGCAAAAAGTTAACATTCTGTTTCACAACAAGAGATCACAGTATAAAAGAAAATGGCAAATTCAATAAGAAAAAATCAGCTAAAGCAGATCAAACAAGGCGTATCTTAGAATTTGTGGTACTGCTGAACATGGCATCCACACAGCTCAGCTCACAGCTTTGAAGGTTTGGGGAAAATGTCGGGGGTAAACTTCTGTGCTGCACTGATACTACCCTTTATCTTCATCGCGCCCCTAAATTGTTCGAACAGCATTATACTTCGACCATTTTCAATCAAAACAAAGCAGGCAGTGTATAAAAAACGAGTATTGCAAAATATGAGCACCTCATGAAAGCAATCTGAGGATTCATCTTCCCACTGGCAACCTTGACGAAATCGTCATCAGTGAAGGAGAATGTTGCATCTGGCTTCCCATCTTCATAGATCCCTGTAAGTAAATGAATTTTTAAGATTTAATCAAAGTTTTTGAACTAATATTAGCCATAATTCAAAGTCTTAAACCGAGAAATTAATCAAACATTTTAAATACCAATAACCCTGTGCAACAGAATCAAAGGCAATAAGGCATCCCCACCACTATAGAAATCAAAAAAATTAGCAGACCTCAATCAACCAAAAAATAAAAATAAAAAACTACTGAAATGGTTAGATTAGATGGAGAAAATGAGGCAAAAGTAAGAACCCCAACCTTCCTTCACCTCCCCTTTCTTCAAATCAACTACGTAGGACTTCTCATTGAATCCAAGTTTCTGAGAAGAAGNAAGAGCACGGTAAATTAAATAAACCAAACGTAACCTAGAACCAAATTGCAGAACAAATTTTTCCCTAAATATCCATGACCTGAAAAAATCGAAAGGAAAAATCAAACCTTGGGTGCAATATTGATCTGATAAACAAGACCGATTTTCTTCGTAAGCTGTTTCCCAGCATCAGTGGACATGTGGAGCTTCATCTGCTCCATTAAAGCATCGGATTTCAGGTGAGTGGAGTTCGCCATGGCTGACGCTTTGCTAAAATGCGGCGGTTGTATTGACGACGACTGATATTTATGGGGGAAGAGAAAGTGCGAATTGAATCCTATTAATGGCCATTAAATAGAAGGGGTGGGAGGATCGGTAGAGTGTAGGTGACGAGGGAGAGCAGTAACTTTCAGCGCCAAGCACGCAATTCAAGGTACATTTTTTTATTCTCTTTCTTTTATTCAAGTGCATATAAAATGAATAACATTATTTTATGAACTGCTAATGTAATTTGACTGCAAATGAATTCGCTGAGCGCTAAATCTAACAATTAATTTAGTCAAAATAGGTTATCCAATCTGTTTGGTCAAAATATCTAATGAGTCCGCTAATCGCTAAATCTAAGAGTTGATTGCCAAAGAAGTCCTTAGCCTCCTAGACCCTCTCCAACGCTGCCCTTTTGTTTAGTCTTTTATTTTTTAGATTTACATATTTTATTTGTTAACCTAATTCATATATATTAAATGGTTTTGAATATAATTTAATACTATTTTGTATTTTAATTTAATGGCAAAATAATTTGTTTATATGATGTTTAAATACTTTTTCTATAATTTCAATTCAAATTTTTTTTTTTTTTGAAATAAAATAAAACTTTGCATTCAAGAAATTAAGAGTTCAATACATTCCTGAAAAAAGATGAAAAAACTAAAGGAATAGAGTCTTTCCAATAGCAAGAAGAGTGTGACCACACAGCCCAATTCGCAATTTTGTGGGCCACTTGGTTTTCCACTCAGGGGTATGTTCACACTTACTGCAATCCAAAAGAGATAGTAGCTTCCTAATGCCCGAAAAAACCTCAAAGAGTGGGTCGAATTCTTCCATTTGAACGATTCCTCCAACAACATAAAGAATCTGTTAGAACTGCTTGAATTGTGAAGTTTGAATCACATGCGAATCGAAGGCCATAACGAATAGCCAAAGCTTCCGCAAATAAAGGAGAAAACGATCCATGGATATACATAGTAAAGAATCAATTCAATGTTTTTGAAAATATTATCTTTTATAAAGAGTATATATTCATAATGGATTCAATCCAATAATTATTAAAATATTTATAAAATACTTTTGTATATTCATCCAAACAATTTGAATTAATATATTTATAAAATACTTTCATATATTCATACAAACAATTTGCATTATTTAATATAATTTAGAAAAAAAATACAAACCACATTAATATTAAAAATACTGCATATTTGACACATACAAAAGACATTAATATTATAAAATTATTCATAAATTTGAAAGATAACATTGAACTACTTGAAGACTATCTATTTCATCTCAATGTATTTTTATTTTTCATCTTATGCAATGTAATTATTAATTTTTAATGAATAATTATTTCTTCGGTTTTGTTATGTATATGAATTACAACTTTATAATTAATTTATCACATAAATTTCAAATTAAATTTAAAATAATAGTGTAGTTTGATTTGTAAAGTTGTAAAATATTTGGGTAATATTGAAAGTTGTAAAAATTAATGTAAAACAGAATTTTCGATAATATTTTGTTGGGTTTGAAATAAATTTTTTGATTAGAGATGAATTAATGTTTGATGTGCCAATTAGGACAAAATGAATTTGTGAATGTATTTTTCAGTTAACAAAGTTGAAGCCGTGAAGAAAAAGGTTACCAAAAAGAATGCTCAAATTTCAAATTGAATTTTACTCAATCCCACGATGATTTGTATGCTATATATAATCTTTTTATTCCACAAAGCTATTCAATTTTCTCAATCAAAGCAATCATTGTCTCCAAAAATCGGTGGAAGAACAGGCTGAAACAACTTGGCAATACAATTGCTGCTTCTTTGAATTATAACTTAAATCCAAGTCTACTTTGAAAACCCTAAATTATAGCAAAACGAAGGAAGCTAAATCTGTAACATTTGCTAAGGATGCTACAAAATGATGCTGAGGTTTAAATGCAGAAGATGTCATATTTGTATCCAAAAGCAGGATAAGAAACAGTAGTGTTCAGCATGTTAAAAATAAAGGTCCCAAGTTTCAAATCCACAACCAAAAATACCACCAATTCCGAATAATGAATATTTTTTCTATACCAGAAAACCTACTCAGAGTAAACAGAAACACTAATTCCACTATCTACTAAAAGTAACTTTTGATTCCCACAAAATCAATAGAACAAGTATAAAAACAACTGGATTGGAGAAACATCAGCGCAAAACATTCGATTCATGCTCTCTGATCATAAGTATTTTCAAGAATGGGTAAGCCAGGCCCATATATCAGTTTACAGCGGTCGTTAAACGAACCAACCAGTCGAGACACCACTTCCTTGAAGAACATATCGGCAATCTGTCATGCAAGAAATCACATGAATAATAGAAAACCGTCAACTTTGTTTTTATCCATAGACAAAGGGAAAAAAAAAATACTCATTCTCTCATCTGGACATAGTAATGACAACTGATAATAGTATTTTCCCGTATACTTGGTCTATTTGTTCAATTGTGTATTATGTACATGTGTCACGCCACATTATCACGAGCATATCTGAAACTATTTTAATGTGTTGCGACAGTCATATCCAGCGACCATCACAGATAAGGATGGTAGAACTTTTTCGTCGAAAATTAATAAATTGACTAAAGGACTTCAAACTTTGAAATGAAAATGTGTTTCTTTTCCAGACGAAGCATTAGTTCAAAATTTTTGTGTGGTCATCGATTAAGGCCCAAAATATGTTTCAGAAAATGCAGACTTGGCTTTTGTTGGAAATATTCAGACTTTTCAGACATTTATGACTTTAATGCATAATAATGATAGTAATACTTTTATGAAAAATAATAATAATTGTGGTAGCACCCAATCAAGGATCCATATTTTCCTTTAGATGCTAAATAGAAACACAGATAAATAACACAAGAACTATGATGTTCATTACTAATAATAGAGGAGTTCTTCCAGTCTGGTAAGCTGACACAAGGAAAATGACAAATATTATTAATGAGAGCAGAAACAAATGTCTAGAATCATATAACCAGAAAAGTAAATTTACGCGTAATAATGGGATATGAATAAAAATTTACACCTGCAAAGATTATTCAAAGCTGAAATGTGAAAAAAGTTGAAACTATCCCAAGAAACTCACTTGTCGATAAAATGGCGACTTGAACTTAAAGTCGACTAAGAAATAAAGGCTGCAGGTTCCTGGAACAGGCCCAGGATTAAATTCCCAAACATTGATCAAATGATCAAAAAGGCTGCTTTGAGATGAGGTTGTCTGCAAAAAAGTTAAGAGAATGGAAAATAAACGGCAGAAGTGGCAATTACGTAACATGCATACATGTATTTAATTGCAAATCACTATTTGGAGAATTCAGACATCAGTTGAACACTGCAATTACATACATAATATTTAAGAGATTTTGACAACGAAAAAATGTGGAGGAAAATGTGTTTATATCATCGTGTAACAGTCATCTGCTCCACTAGCTACAAATTTGTGAAGCAAGCAAGAAAATGCCACAGATTTTGGTCGTTTCTTCTCAATATAAGAATTTCACTCAATTGAAAACTAAGGAAGGAAGAACGGCTTAATCAATATTCATCAATGAAAAAGTTGTGCCAGATTTAAGAAAATATAAAAATAAACTAAATTTCTTTACTGCTTAGCCATCTTCATACTTGATTCTAAAATTAACACAGATAAAGTCATTTGAGTACCCAATTAGAAAGGGGCAAAGAAAAGGAAATGAAACACTTAAACAATATAGTATTAGCGTGGTTGCAGGTATTAGTGGTTGAACACAGGCCTGTCCCACCAACACATTTTAGCAGTTTAGCTGATGTATTTAAAATATAACACGATCCATAAATTCACAAATGCATGCTAATTCATTTAATCAGCTAACAACATTCAACTTCAGCAAATGGTAAATTCTTCCCAGAACCATACTCCTAGAACTTTATACCAATAGTAAAAGCTATACTAATTCCATTATTTCAAGCCCTCAAGCACAACAATTTTCCAAAATCCAGATACTTAAAACCAAGTATCAGGAATCAATATATACTATTTTTAACATACAATTAGATGAAACTGGAAACATGTAAACATGACAGATGACAGTCAAAGTGATTGTTCACCTTAATAGAATTCGGTTTGCTTAGTTCCACATGGGATATATAGCTTTCAACAAGAAATTTAAACCCGATTTCTAACTCGGCATCAAAAGTTCCATCAGGATTGCGCCGAATTACTTCTGACCTTTGACACCAAGGCAGAAAATCTTGGTACATATCAACACCAGCAACCACATTGAACAATTGTTCCTGTGAGTATCTAATAAGGAGGGGGAAAAAAAGAAAAAAACAATGAAAGGAAACAAAAGACAATTGATTAGCTTCTTATATCTCAAAACTATTAAAAGCCAAAAATGCATTTTACCATGAATTGATATGCTTAACTAGCTTGAATACATAGTTATTAAAGGAAAACGGTGGCCTTGATCCATAAAGCAAGGCCATGGCGCCACCTCACGAACAAACCACCATCGTTGGAAAGAAAGAAAAGAAATTAAATGATAATACATATTTAAGCACAGATTGTAGAATCAACTTAAAAAATCATAACCACACAATCTGTTGTTCCATACGAAAAAAAAAAATAATAAATAAAAATGATAGAATATAAACAAAATAATTAAAAAGAAGCTTACCCTAAAACACGTCTTTCTTCGTACACTTTGGATAGATTACTCCCCTCTCCGCCATCGGAACAACCCAAAAAGCCTCTTTTCTGGAAAACATCTCCGCCAGCGCTTGATGAATTTACGAAATCCGAGATTTTATAATTGTTGTACCGACCGTCTACAATTTTATCCGACGAAGGAAAAGCGACGGTACCAGAAATGCGATTCAGGCGCCGATTCTGGCTGCAACTATAAAAATTCGATGTCTGCTGCCGGAATAAATTCCGGCAGGAAACCAGGCGCGTCAAAGACGGGTGTTTGAACGGAGACATTGAGATTAGGCCTTCTTCTGCGCAAAACCAAAAAATGAGGGTAAAGCCTTCATTTAGAATTGGATTGGATTTCCAAAAACTACTCACGCAAATTTCCAAATATTTCCAATTAATAAAATTAATAATTGCAAACTCAAACTCGAGATGAGTTATGATTCTGTTCTCAATAGTTGTGAACAAGAAAAGGCGTTTGACCTAGATATTATTTTATTTTTTATTTTTTATTTTCAATTACCCCCACCTCATATGTAGAGCTGTCAAAACGGGCCAGCCCGTAGCCCGCTAAAGCCCGCCAATTGGCGGGGCGGGCGGGCTGGCCCGCCAAGCGAAATCCAGGCCCAACCCACCCCGCCTCGGGCCGCGGGTTTGGCGGGCCAATTTTTTTTATTTTTTATTTTTTAAAAATGCTTTAATTCTAATTATTGTGTTGCCTGTAAAGAGGATCCATCCGTCACAAAGAACTGTTGAGAATCAAGATTATTTCAAGTTAAATATCTCACGGCAAAACAACAACAAATATTTGGACAAAGCCATTGATAGCTATTGGTATCCGTACCTCAATCAGGTGTCTTCTCCAAATTATCTGTCCGAAATTGCCAAGGAAACGAGAGATTGAGATTTCAGACAATCTCGAAACGGGAGACTGAGACTAGCGCAAAGGGCCGTCTAAAATTGCCCAGAAAACTTCAATAAACCTACTCACGGGCGGGGACGGTGGGCGGATGACGGTGAACGGGCGGAGGGCGGATTTCGGATGGCGGCGAATGGGCGAGGCGGATGACAGCAAAAACTGAGTTCCCAACGGTGTCCACGGCGAGGGCAGATTGGTAGAGGCGGACGGCGAGGCGAACGGGCGAGGCGGAAGGTGGCGAATGGGCGGAGGGCCAAAGGCGATTTTTTGTTTGGTGGAGGCGTGGAGCTTGGGCGATTCAAGGTCTGAGTAAGAGAGGTGAAGTAAAATAATTTTATCTTGTTTGGACGGATTTTGTAGGGGAGGAAACTTTGTTTGGTTAGAATAAGGGAGGAGAAAGAAAATATTGTAGAAATGACAATTGTATCCTTAATGATGTAAGAAACAAAATAATAAAATAATTTACATATAAAGAATAATATAGTAACTATATGTGATAAATTTTCCCTCTCCTCCAAATTCCTCCACTTTTGGAGGGGAAGAGATTTTCTCTTGGAGTAGGGATTTGAAGGAAAAATATCAACTCCTCCCCCCACAAAAAATTGAACCAAACAAGGAAAAATTATAAAATTCCCTCCCCTTCCTTCCCCTCCCCTCACTTTCCCCCGAACCAAACACTGTGAAAGTGGTGGTGGACAAAAATGAGGAAAATGAGGGTTTCACGGGCAAAACATGAGAGATAAATATCATTTTATGTTTTTTTTTTCACTAATTGGCGGGCCAGCCCGCCCTCACCCTGGCCCGCGGCCTGCTCCCAGCGGGCCTAAAAAAATCCAGGCTCAACCCGCCTCTTTTGTGGAGCGGGACGGCCAAATTGACAGCTCTACTCGTATGTGGCTTGTGCATAAAAATTGTTATGAGAAAAAAATATGTGTAAAATAATGGTTGATATTTATCATCTATTCTTATATTTATGCATAAAAGTATATTTTTATATTATTTTTCATTATGTTATATTGAGTTGTGTCAATGTTAAAAAGATTTGTATTGTATATTTTTGTAACAAAAAAATAAACTACACAATTAATGATATGGGTTATAATAAGAGAAGAAACCCGTAATAGAAAAAGATATTTGTAACTCAATTTTGATTATTTTATCAACAAAAATGATAACGTCTTTTAATAGATCAAATGAAATATATTGAATTACAAATTTCTACTATTCATTTGGTTAATTTCTTCAAAATCTTTAGGAGTTGACATTTGGAGACAAATCTTCAATTTGATATGTGCAGGTCTTGACCTTGAATTTAAATAAAGTTTCTTTAAAAGCTTGGCTCGATTCAAACGTCGGGATTTGGTTTGAATATGAACTAGTTCTTTGTGGAACAAATAATTTGATCTTTCTCCAAGACGACGTTGCCCTCCATAGACCTTAATGCTAAGGTTTTCAAACTTTATATCCAACTAAACACTAATATTTGATGAAAATTGGCGATAAATGACTTGTAATTGTTAGAGCATACTGTAAAACAAACTCTTATGTGAGCTTTCAGAATGTGTTTACTCAGTTTCCAGCTGACTGAAATAAATGTTTTCACATTCTAACACTCTTGATGAATGTTTGTCTATTAAATGTCCAATTATCTTATATTGTAAACAAGTTGTTGACAATCACATAGAAGACTACATTATCGATTCCTTATAAGATATAAAAGATATTCATAACTGAGATAGTTATGGACATGACTATCAGTTTAGGTTGTAGTATAAATTGGATGTAGTTTGTCTTGGTCTTAGTTTATACTAGTGCGTTGCATCGCATTGAAAGGACCACAGTTGAGACGTGTTCTTCTGTTCCGAGTGTCATGAAGAACCAATGTGTCGGTGACTATACTAGTTCTTAACCCTAACTGTGATACTTAGATATGTGCAATATTTGTTTGTTATTTTAACTTACCATGGGTGAGAACCAAGTTTGGTTCAATATGCTTCGTATCTTAGGTAACGAACACGATATCTATATATGAGCATTAGGACATCATGTCCTGGTCATCCAGGTTGATGACGTCCCCTTAAGAAACTCATAATAATTATCGTATAGAACCCTGCAAGTGGATTAATCTGTACGATAATAAGATTGAGTGGCACTACTTATGAAATAAAAGATATTAATTAACTAAAGCAGTTAAAAGCTTTTAATAATTAATGGACGTGTGATATCTTAAATACGGAGAATTGTATTAAGCATATTAGATGTCCTAATTAATTTTGGGATAGGATGGAAGTGCAATATTAATTATCTAGTGGAATGAATTAATATTTCTGGGCCAAATTATGTTTGGGTTGAACATAAGAATTAGCCTGTAGGGAGTCCAAATCCTATACCTTCCAGGAGATTCCTAATCTGGCCCAAGAACCTCTATAAATAAAGTGTTCTCAATGTTTTTAACCCTAAAAAGAGTGAGACACCAATCAGCCACCACAAAGTGACAAGTGTAACTCAAAGGGTTCAGGAAGACATGAAGCAACTTGCTCTTTGCAAGCGTTTGGAGGATCATCGTCCATCCGACATCAGACGTGGGTCGGGATATAGACTAGAAGATTGTTTTGTCGAATCAAAGCCTCTGATTATAAGGTTAATATTTGTTCATTCTTTAGGAGCATGTTTAGGTTTATTCAAAATCATTTATGTTTGTGTTTGGTATCCGATAATGATCTGTGGGGATGGACCATGCTTGCCAGTGTGTTCAAGAAATTTGTATCATTTTCTGATTTTGTTTTAGTATTGAAGAACGTTTTATACATGCCAAGTTTTTGTAATAATTTAATTTCAGTTTCGAAGTTGTTTTTGGATTGATATTCAGTTATTTTTAATAACGGTGTTGTTATTATGAGATATAGTTCTTTTATTTATTCTCGCATGTTGGTTAACACTTTTTATACTATTACTTTTTCATATCATATTGTGGCTAAAACTCATTCATCTTAAGCATTGAATAAGAGAAATGAGCCTTCTCAGTCCAATCAAACATATCGTTGGCACCTAAGGTATCATGTCAATCTAAGAAGGATCCAAAGACTGGTTAGTATTGGATTCTCTCCAAGACCAACCTTTTCCAGCCTGCGAATCCTGTTTGGAAGGCAAGATGACTTTTAAGCCTTTTAAGGCCAAGAGGAATAGGGCCAGTTATGTGTTGGAATCAATTCACTCTGATTTGTGTGGGCCTATGTTTATATAAGCTACATGTGGTTTTAAGTACTTCGTTACTTTTACTGATAATTACTGGAGATATGGATACGTTTACTTGATGCGTAGCAAGTTTAATATTTTGACAAGTTCAAAGAATTCAAGAAAGAAACGGAGAACCGTCAAGGGAAAAGTAATAAGGTATTGTGATCTGATCATGGTGGCGAATATCGCAGCTATGAATTTATGGAATACTTATTAGAAAATGGAATTACATCCTAGCTGATTGCGTTTGGTACTCCCCAATAGAATGGCGTAGTAGAGAGAAATAATAGGACATTGTTGAAAATGGTGAGATGAGCGATGCTTTATTACCTTCCTCATTTTTGGGATAACCTTGGAAATGGCAGCATACCTTTTAAACTTCAGGTTTTCTAAATTGGTTCCAAAAACCCCGATAGAATTGTGGTTCGGTTTCAAGACCTGTTTCGACCATTTTGGGGCTGCCCAACACATGTGTTGGACAAATAAGTTGCTAAGTTGGCGCCTAGAACAAAGGTGCCACTGTTTGTAAGCTACTCCAAGGGAACGAGAGGTGGTTACATAGTTCTAAAGACCAGAGAGTGGTAGTAAGTACCAATGCCCGACTTTTAGAAGAAGAATATGTGAGTCAGAATAAATGCAAGAGGGGGATCATTCTCAATAAATTGAGGGAAGACAACGGCATACTGAATGTCCAGGAGGATATACCACAAGAGACTGCACAACGTGTTGACTCTGATGTAGCTACACCTGAATTGCCTCATCGTAGTGAGAGGGTTATTTGTCAACCTGATCATTTTATGTTCGTGGGAGTGTCATTGGACTTGATTCCAAGCGAAGAACGTGATACTAATCCGTGGACCTACAAAAAGACAATCCAAGACTTAGATGCAAAGTCTTGGCAGAAATCTCTGGATTTAATCTTTTGACCAAAAACAAACAAGGGGCGATATAGATGCTATGGAGGTATACGAACTTAGGGACCTTTCTGAGGGCAAGAAATTCATTGGATGCAAATGGGTCTATAGGCGTATGACAGGATCTGATGGGAACGTAATTGCCTTTAAATCATGGTTGGTGGTAAAGCGTTTTACTCAGAAAGAGAGAATCGATTATAATAAGACCTTCTCACCAGTAGCCATGCTGAAGTTGATCTGAATTCTCTTATCTATAGCAAGTCACATGAACTATAAGACTTGTCAAATGGATGTCAATACAACTTTCCTCAACGGAAAATCGGATGAAGACATCTATATGCATTAACCCGAGGGTTATGTGAAGAAAGGCCAAGAGCACCTGGTTTCGAAACTAAAGAATTTCTCTTTATCAACTAAAGAAAGTTTCTAGGTCTTGGAACGTTCGTTTTGACGAGGTGATTAAGTCCTATGGATTTGAACAATGTTAAGACAAAAGTTGTGTATACAAGAAGAGCAACAGAGACGTAGTGATATTCTTAGTGTTATACGTAGATGATATTCTTCTCATCTGAAACGATATCAAGACATTATCGAATGTAAAAGTATGGCCTTCATAACAGTTTCAAATTAAGGACTTGGGTTAAACATCGTATATTCTTAGAATCAAGCTCATTCATGATAGGAATAAGAGATTATGGTGTTTATTCCAAGCTGCTTACATTGATATTGTGATTGCTCGATTCAGTATCTAAGACTCCAAGAAAGGATTGCTCGATATTATGATTACCCTTTCCTCATAGAGTTCCTCTATCTAAGGATATATGTACAGAAACACAAAAGAAGATAGAAGAAATAGCTAAGGGTCCTTATGCTTCGGCTGTAAGAAGCTTTATGTATGTCATGCTATGCACGAGGCCTGACATTTACTATGCGGTTGGAATGGTAGCGAGATATAAGTCTTATCCTAGTCAAGGACACTAGACTTCAGTAAAACATATTCTCAAGTATCTGTAAAGAACTCTGGATCATGTTGTTTACCACCATCTGGACCACCGCGACCTCCTGGGTTGCTCGGCCCTGCAACTGCGACTGGGACCGCTGATGAGCTCCCTAAGCCTGCAGGACGCGGTGTCATGGTCATCAGGGTCTGGAGAGGTCCAGAGAAGTATGGTAGTGGGCCTGCTCCGAACGGACGCACGTTCGGCCACACATCATCGAAATTTTGCTCAAGATTTCTTCTGGGAATCTCATTCGTTTGAACAAGTTCCCCACAGAAGGCGTTTTGAACAAGTTCCTCACAGATGGCGTCAAATGGTACAGAAAGACCTCAGACTGGCTTGATTTCGGCCAACTCCGGGTTCCTTGCTGGTAGATCGTCATTCAAACCTGCAAAAACTCCAAATGGTACAGAAAGACCTCAGACTAGCTTGATTTCGACCTGCTCCGGGTTCCTCGCTGGTAGATCGTCATTCAAACCTGCAAAAACTCCAAATGGTACAGAAAAACATATGACCGGCTTGGTTTTGGCATGCTCTGTGTTCCTCGCCAGTAGATCGTCCTTTAGATCTGCAAAAACTCCACACCGGAGGAGGCTTTCGGTGAACAGTCTCTGATGCTTAAGTTAGTACAGTCAAGGAGATAATGTGTTGCATGTAAATGTATAGAGTATATAGAATGTAATGTAATGAAGGGCATGCTTCACTCCCTTTTATAGAGGATTGTTATCTTGTTGTCCAAGACTGTCCGAGCGAGCTACTTGGACTTCCCGAACAACTCGTCCGTACTGATCGATCTTCCCAAATTGCCCAATTCTGTTAAGCCGTGTAGCCCTATCCACATGTGGTCTTTATCCCATTAATATTCATTATTATCCATTAGTCTTTCTTGTTAGACCGCCTATTCGTGCGACCAGCTCGAATCCTGTTGAGGTATAATGCGTATCATGCTTAAGTATTGTCCTTCTGATCGATCACACGACCGCCATACTTTCAGGTCGAGTTTTCAATAGGCCATCTGAGGGTCCTAGCTCGACCTGCCGTTGCCCCTTTGAATGTCTTTTTCAACCTGAAGACTCTTATTCTGCACTGGCACTCGACCTCCATTCGACCTTCCTGCGGCTCTTTTCGACCAACCAATTCACTCGGTCGACCTAATTAGCCAATTTATTGAGTTTGCTCCACTTCGTGTGGTTTCCGTCATTTTAAGCACATGCTCTCGTAGATATTTCGTTATTTTAAACATGCTCTTGCACAAACGCTACCTCCAACATAATGTAAAACATAATCTTCATCATTGGCTCAAACAGAGCAACCCCATGTTACTCACCAAAGAGTTCCTTTAAGTCATCATCTCGCAGCAGGCATGTTTGTTGCAACATAATCATTCAAACTCATCGTGGACAAATTTAAATACACAACCATAAACAATGTTCTTGAAGAATCTTAACCTTTTCTTTTTGAGAAGTGTGAGGAATAAATGCGAGAAAATTCATTGTACCTTCTTGCGGGTGCACACATATACATTCATACATACATACAACATAAGAAAATTAATTCATCACCTCGAGATCCATTTCTCAAATCACCAAATCAATGATTATCATAATATTCTACAATTATTACAGCTGGGCAACATCAACCTCTAAGGAAGGCAAATGACCAGAAGTCACAGCTAGAATGAAAAAAAATAATAATAAAAAAAAAAAATCCAGCCAAGCCCATCAATTCTTGAATTCTAGCACAAGTTTTTTTTCTCATATTAATCACCACATAATTCCCGCTGAAGCCCCATTGTGAGTACAACTTATGCTTTAGCTGATCACACAATTATCTCTAAGGACCAATCATACTCTGGAATTTATTCATGTGGCTCCCAAGCATTTTTAGACCAAAAGGCAAAAACAAATGTCAATTTAATCCTGCATAGTATAGTTCTAATCTTCAGAACGTGAATCGTCTACGGTTAAATAGCCTGCTTAACCGATCTTCTCAGAAGGGACAACCTGAAACAGACGATTTCACCATAAGACAAATAAAATCACACTTTAGAAACGAGATATCAATTTGACATGCGCTGTTTAGAGTCTTCTGAGCAGTTAGGGATCGAAACACAATTTTAAAAAGTTACTTGATCATTGCTGGACGATGTTCTCGTTCTCCTGATTTCGTGCACCCTGCTAGCTTGGTCCTCAAGACCTTCCTCGTTGAAGTTCTGACCTATCACCTCTGATGAAAAAGCCAAAACACACGAAATAAACCAACCTAGTTAAGTTTAAAAAGAAAAAAATTCAAAAGCTAAAAATTCCATTCAAAAGGAATGATTGTCATGTTGAAAGCTAAAAGCTACACGTCTGCAAAAGTCAACCCGAAAGGCAAGAGAAGAAACTTGAAAACATTAAATTATGAGGAAAAGAAGACCAAGAACTGGCACTTGAAAACATTAAAAACTAATTTCTTGAATAGTAAAAGCCGAGAATTACGTTTCTGGACAAAGTTGGGAGAAAAAACTACCTGCATTGCTGAAATCAATTTTCGGCCAGCGACCATCACGACGAACCGTAAACTGCGTCCA